AAGCGAACCCTGGTTCTAATGTCAAATTCAGTTTCAGCATCGTGAACTATCCCTCTTGCTCGATGTGTAAATCCTTCATACCTGAGGAACTTGAAATTCATTTCTGTTACCTCCTGCAAATATCATTTTTTGCCATGCAATTAAGTTTTCAGTAATCTGGCAACTACACGACAGGAGGCTCAAACCTATTGTGCTTCTGCTCCTGTGTCATGTCTGTGGAAAAAGAGACACAATACTGATTCAATTATTTTAGCAATGATACTGTACCTGAATGTAGAGTGCAAGAGTTCCTTGCTCTTTGATAACATTTATCGGACAGAAATGTCTTAGAAATTGTAGGAATTGTCAAGTAACTTTCATTTATTGGCAGAAAGGGTGACACAAAGTCACATTTTGTTTGGTCTCCTGGCTAAAGTCTTCTCACTCTCATCTCTCTTCTCATCATCATCCCCCTCACCATTTCTAGCCTGGGTCTGAACAAACAAACGGCTTTGCTGTCTTTCTTCCATCACAGCTAATGAGCCCACAGTCCTGCCTTTCATTTCCCTCCACATCATCAGGACACATTCAAACTAGAAAGCTGAGTTTACATGTGGTCCAGAAACCATATGTGCAAAAACATACATTTTGTTGCAGTCATACTCATCCAGTCCCCGAGCATGTACATGGCAGATGCTTTTTAACCTGATAAAAGTTCAGTGTCTCCATCCATACAGCGGAAACAAACGATGAAATTAAAATGAGAAGGAACAATATATGAAATATTTACTGTATGTGTTTATGTTGACAAATCATTTGCATCTTCAAAACAAAGCAGGGAATCAGTACAAGGAAATTAAGGAAATCAGTAAGGAAATGGCCTACAAGGAAAATTGAAAAAAGTAGCACTGAACGCAGGAGAATATGATTTAAATATTAATTATCCTCCTAGGTATTAACAGTCAACCCAAGAAATGGAACGGCCCATCAGTGAAACATGCAGTGGAAGTTCATTTAAAATGGACAAAACCAGACAGTTTTTACACAAAGATGTCTGCATGTCTAGGACAAGTTACTCAGACGTTGGTGAAGCCGATACTCACAGCTTCGTTCAATAATCAGCTGGCAAGTGCAGATATATATACTGTTGCAGATAGTATACAAACAGAAATGTTCCTTAAATTTAGGTTCTAACAGTAAACACAGCATTCATTATTATTAGTTTCAAAAGGATGTGTATTTATACCCAACTATAATTGGAGGATCTTATAGCTTCTGCTACCTTTACTCTCTTTTATTTCACCAGTTACCATGGCAACCTTGTTAGTGTTCTGTCAAAGCCTGACATGGACTGGCTGTGGGACTTCAGTGGAAGAAAGCCCTTTTGGATTGGTAAGACGTTTAACCTAAAGAAAAATCAAGTGTATTAATTTTAGCCAAATCACCTCTGAATCCTAACCTTTGTCTTGAAAATAATTTGGTTCAAATTCAAAAGATTTGATTTCAGTTACGATTTGTTCAGAAACAAAGAATACTTTTAGCCAATAATTCCAAAACCATTCCTTATATTTTATTGTTAGAAAGCCATCTTCGCTGAACACATTTTCTTAAAACTGAAAAAATCAAAATGTGAAATTCAGGAGCATTAAAAACACTCCAAACTGTTTGTGTCTATGTTTACTAAACAGGAATAATTGAATCAAAGGAGGTTAAATACCAAGTGAGTCAATTTTTCAATGAACAAGTAGTTCAACAAACAAGTAATTAATCTTGAATTAGCTGCCAGCAATGCTCACAGCTCACAATGGCATCACCATTACATGAGCATTTAAATCTGGCTAGGGAAATGTATTCCACTCATGGAGATGCATGTGTACATGGTCACAAATCCCCACATCATATGTCGGTCCAGTGCATCCCACAGGTGCTCTACTGGGCTCACATCAGCTGAGCCAGGCGCAATATGCAATAAAACATCAATCCCAGAGATGTCTCAATCAGATATACCGATCTTGGACCAGGTTGGTGATTAGTGGCAGGCTGGCTGCTTTAAAAAAAAATGACGATTTGCAGTGACTTCCAAGACTGGAAGGGTTGTTGACCCCTTTCCTAAGTAGATCATTTTCAGCCTGCAAAGTGAACCAAGCCACACAGATGGGGATATGCGCTGTTAACCACTGGATTGTAACTGTACTTTGCCACAGTTCACATAGATCTGTGTTTCCCTGGTCTGGGACATTTGTGTGACATTTTGCAAGCAAGTGACACATTCAAATTGAACCAGCTTTATGGGGATGTCCAACAAAAATCTCTAGCAGCTTTCACATGAACCAACATGACTTGGAGGAGTGTCCATCAGAAGAGACACTGTACAGGACTAAAACAAAGTGACTGGTCTGCAGCTCACAGAAGCCATTCCTGTGCGTGCATCTCTGGTTTTAAAAGGGTTGTGGAAGGGTACAGGAATCAGGGGAGTAAACAGAAAAAGTGGATAACAAAAAAATAATTTCAAATACGTTCACTACATTAAGAAAAAGACTGAAAATTTTCATTTGTCTCCCTCTGCCCATTAGGCCTGAATGACAGAGAAAACACCGGAAAGTGGGAGTGGGTCGGAGGTGAGCCAGTGACCTTCACAAACTGGAGGAAGGGGCCTCCCAGGGTGAAGAGGAAGGCAGGGAAGAATTGTGTGCTGGTGTGGAGAAGAGGGAAGTGGCAAGTTAAAGACTGTAAGAAGGGGAGAAGACATCACTATATATGTTACATTAGGACCTGAGCAGCACGCAAGCTGAACGAAGACCAAAGCACAGGCACCAAGATAAGAGGCATGAAGGGACATTAAATCAAGAGAGTCATATTTATTTATTTTTTAATTAAGCAAGGTTAAAAACTAAAGATGCGTTTCATAAAACCAGTGGTAGTTAAGGTTACTTCTATAACAACACAAAGCACCAGTAATAAAATGGCAAAATGCATCTCAGGATTGCAACACTGCACATACAGTACTGTAAAATAGCCCTGCAAAAAGAAGTGGCAAATTTAACTCTCAAATGTGAATCAATAACAGGTCAGAGTTGCTTCATGAAATTCTTATATGTTTACATATACTTTAACTCAGTTTTGATGTTTGAGATTTCAATAGTGTGTAACATTTTAAATTTATACTGTAACAAGAAATTGTACTACTAGAAACAAGGCTCATAGATTATTGTACATACAGTAGTATCATCTTTGAAGTACCACTAGCTAGCAGCATTCACAGCTGCTAAGAAGCACATGCCAAATACCATCTTTACAACATACTAAATCATTGAGTGCACATTTCATAAAAACATAAGCTATAGTGTCTCCCGCAGACAAGAGTGCAGAAGAACCTCAAATAGGGAAAAGTCTCTTATATCAGACTATTGGCAAATTTCAAACTTAGTTTAAAAATGACCTCAATAACATTCCGTTTTATAGCATAGCATTCTCTGTGAAACATAGGAATTTAAACTTCAAAGAAATTGTACAGCGGTGCAAAACGCTATGCTATACTAATGACAGGAACTGTCCTAAAACTGTTCAAATAACCCATCACAAGAACAAGTTAATAATGAAATAGAGTTTATGACAACAGAGGACGTAAGTGTCTCACTATCTTCAGTGTGTCTAATATTATGTCTTACATCTATTTCACTGTTATTTAAAAATTACCTTCCAGAATAAAATGATAGAGAAATATGTCAGTTATCAAGTAATTCATAAATCCCATCAGGTAGAAACAGCCTCAAAATTCCTCTGAACCATGAAACTGAACATGGTACTACTTTCATTTTGCTTAACAGATAATACATTCTCTCTTTTTAACTTTGTAAAAAATAAAACCAGATCATATAAAATCCAGAAATGGATTATTTTAATTTAAAACAAATCTCAGCCAAATTAATTCAAATTAATGTGTTCTTCAAATAATTTGCATGTCTAATACTTATGACCCCTCTGAAATTGTCACATGATTCTTACAAAAAATTATACCATATTGATGTCCTCAGTCCATGCAAGGAGCATAAACGGAGGAGCCAAGATGCCTTATTTACATAAAATGCTCTCTGTGAACACGCTATTTTGCAAACAAAATAATACCTAGCCCCCTCTTTGCTATCCCAATTACATTCAAAGTCCTGCTTAACATATTTGAGTGTTCAGCACTCTTAACATAAAAAAAAGACACACAATTACACATGTGTTTAAATTTTCTTTTTATCCCACAGACTGTTTACAATGAAATCAGTCTTTGGAAGATTCTCTTTCTTCAAATCCTTTTCCTCTTAGGTCTTTGAAGTGTGGGTGGCAGACACAGATCTGCTACCCAATAAAGCCACTACTCAATGTGGAGTGTTAACTGTCACATCCTTTCTAGTGTGAGGTCCACACTCAGCAGAGTGCAGATGTCCCTCCTAAAGTCTGTCAGACAGACAAAGAAAAACCACAGATTAAAGGGGTAGCACACCCGGAACAACACAGGAAACAAAGAATAGAAGAAAAAAGCAACACAAAACCCACAAAAAACTGAACACAAAATGGAGAACTTCCACAGAACCTCCAACTTACCACGAAACTATAAATAGAAGAAAGAGGCGAAAAAGAAGCGTAAAACAAGGTGCAGACAATCTGGTAGGGACATAGAATCGTCAGATAGTAATAAGAAATTAAGAATAAACATAGATAAATGATTAAAATCAGATTTCTTTTATACACAATTGTCTAATGAAAAGAAATTGTACATAATAATTTCTATAGTCTATGTTTTGTTTTTTAAAAAGAACAAACATTACTATAAGTATTGTTCTATTACCATATAAAGGCACAGATACACTTCTTATATAGAATAAACAGTCACATTTAAGGAAACCAACAACATGAGTATTATTATGCCACATCAACAGTGATGGATACTTTTCCACACTTTTACTGTAAATGAATGTCCCTGAGGCTCATATCTGACTGGTAATAGTTAAATTGTAATTATACATTATATGGTATAGTGCAAGTGTGGCACAGACAGTTTTTTACAACAAACAAGATTTACCTGGTCAGAGAAATAAAATATTCTTAGAAAAAGATATTGTAAGAAAAGGATACGCGAGACTGTCACATTCGATATTTCAGAAATGTATTACTCATTCATTTAAAAAATCCCTGAGTGCAGAAAAATTATCTGCACATGATGTGGTGCTTAATTCCTTTCCAGGGCATCAGTTTGTTTGTCTGATGTGGAAATTAAATTAATGTACGTGTTTTTGTAATACCAAGGACTTTTCATGAGTATCTCAGATTTAAAGATTCTCAGTTGCCATCTTCTTAATCACATAATAATGTAAGAAGTATAATAAGCCACAAGTGGGATATTATATTGATGACTATAATTAAAAATAAACTGTAATTATATGCTCAGTTGTTATTTTGTGGTCTGTCCTGTAAACCAGAAATATCTTTGTTATGTTTCCAGCAGCCAGAAATGAATCAATTTTTTAACCCTTTTATATTGTCTCGGCTCTTGGTTTTTGAGCTTTGAATGAGCACTTTCATACAAACCTTATGCTTTAAGCAATGCCTTAATAATGTTTACCTGCAAAAGAAGGCAGGCACCCTATATTGGAAGAAGCAGTTAGAAAATGGAGAGACAGTTGAAAATTTAAAATCTCAATGTAAACCTCAGATTTTATATATAGTTTAAATAAAAACCTGTGGTTTCCATTGAACTTGTAAATGGTCCATCCATTTACTATCCCAGCTAGCAAGGGGTGCAACGCAGGGTACACTCTGGACAGGACACTGGTCAATGACAAGGCAGACACAGACACAAACACTAACACCATGGTCAATTTTCCCAGAAGCCAGTTAACCTCCCACTATATTTTTGGACTGTGAGAGGAAAATGAAGTATGTAAGTAAGAAAACCCCTTCAAACACAGGGAGAACGTACAAACTCCATATAGACAGCACCCAGGTCCAGAAGTGACAATACTATCCACGGCACCACTGTACCGGCCCATTAAAAATTCGCTCGAAATTAAAATCAAAGACCGCAGTTTTCCTCCATTATACAACTCTATCTGGGACTATTCAGACCACAAATTTTTCCTTCAGTACTGCATCGCTTATTTTTTAAGTATTTGTTATACTTTGTTACCTAAGCAACACGGTGGCGCTGTGGTTAGTATTGCATTGAACAGGTCTCTACAGTATTTATAAAGAAGAGTGAAACAATACAGGCTAATAAAAATACGTTTGTTTTAATATGTTAATTAAAACGTTTCAGATTGACGAATATGTATGCATTGCATCAAACCTATCGACTTTATCTAATTTATCAAAGGGTGGTATGAACTTCGGAAAATTTTTAAATTTAAAAAAAAAATTATAATCACACAGAATTTCAGCTGAAAGTTTAAGAAACTACGCTCGTTTACATTACGTATTTCTTACCTCATCTGTCTGAGTAGTTCATAACTAATTCGCCATAACGACAAAATTGGTTACAAACTGCCCATTAATTCGCAGACCAGACTTGACTTGTCTAATTTGCTTATGGTTTTGACGAGCTTTTAAAAGCAACTGTTAAAGGAGAAATCAGCGGCTGGCCCACTAATTTTAACTTTGTAACTATGGGGAACTTTATTTACACACGTATATTGTTCATTACAATCGGTTTAACTTGAATACGTTGAAGTCAACCGAGTATCAGACCTAAATACTATATTTTGACTTCAGATATTATGTATTTCTGTTATCGATGGCTACATTTTCTGTATACGAAAGTATGGGAACATACGCATGCAAAACCCATTACACCAGTGTTAAATCGGCCAATATGCATAGGCTTTAGACACCACAATAAACATTTCTCTGTTTGTTTAGAGAGAAAACAACTTCAAAGAGGGACTTTCTAGCAAAACACTGATGTGACAAAGGGGTTAACATAAACACGTACTTTATCATAATTAAAATCTAGACCTTGTTTGTGAAGTTTTGATACACCCCCCATTGACACTGATGCAGATAATGAATTTCCGAGTTCACATAAGAAGGGGTCTTCTTATCCCCGCTTTACAAAAGTGCTCCCGCATACGCATCGGACGACGCATTCTGGAGCAGCCAGGAAAAAAAATTAATGTTTAATCATGTTTACCACAGCCGTTATTGCTCTGGTAATAACTGCCGTCCAGACAGAGATTCAAGGATGGACCATACACAGCTACGATGTATGGAGAAAATCAGAAGACCAACAACATAAAAGGGATTCGGTATTAGATCTGTTTACCAACACCTACAACGAAGGTACTGCAAGGGGACTGAGAAAAGCGATTGAAAATTTTCCCAACCAGACCCACGGGACCAACAATAAAGTGGGGAGCAGATTAGCGGCGTCTTTGGGGAAAATGCCCGCAGCTCACTCTCTGGAGTTGCGCTTAGAGGGTTTAAGGTCTGATGATTTAGGAACAAAACGCATCAGCCGCTTAATTACCAACAGTTTGCGCGGCGATGTGAAACCGACTCCTTCGGACAGTTTCAGGGATCCAGCATCAGCTTCTCAATTTAAAAATGCCAAAATGTTCTGG